TCATTAATTTCTCAATCTTTCTCCATACTCTCTTTTGCTTTCTTTTCTCCATCTTTCTCTGTGTTTTCACTTCCTTTCTTTTCTCCATCTTTCTTTGCACTCTCTCTTCCTTTTGTTTCTCAAGTTTTCTCCGCACTCTCTCTTCCTTTAATTTCTTTATCTTTCTCTGCACTTTCTCTTCCTTTCTTTTCTCCATCTTTCTCCCCACTCTCTCTCTCTTTCTTTTCTCCAACTTTCTCCAGCACTTCCTCTTCCTTTCTTTTCTCCATCTTTCTTTGCACTCTCTCTTCCTTTTGTTTCTCAAGTTTTCTCCGCACTCTCTCTTCCTTTAATTTCTTTATCTTTCTCTGTACTCTCTCTTCCTTTCTTTTCTCCATCTTTCTCTCCACTCTCTCTCTTTCTTTTCTCCAACTTTCTCCAGCATTTCCTCTTCCTTTCCTTTCTCCATCTTTCTTTGCACTCTCTCTTTCTTTTGTTTCTCAAGTTTTCTCCACACTCTCTTTTCCTTTAATTTCTTTATCTTTTTCTGTACTCTCTCTTCCTTTCTTTTCTCCATCTTTCTCTCCACTCTCTCTCTTTCTTTTCTCCAACTTTCTCCAGCACTTCCTCTTCCTTTCTTTTCTCCATCTTTCTTTGCACTCTCTCTTCCTTTAATTTCTTTATCTTTCTCTACACCCTGTCTTCCTTTCCTTTCTCCATCTTTCTCCGCACTCTCTTTTTCTTTCTTTTCTCCAACTTTCTCCAGCACTTCCTCTTCCTTTCTTTTCTCCAGCTTTCTTTGCACTCTCTCTTCTTTTCTTTTCTACATATTTTACTGTACTCTCTCTTCCTTTCATTTCTCCATATTTCTCCACATTCTCTTTTCCTTTCGTTTCTCCATCTTTCTCTTCACTCTCTCTTCCTTTTATTTCTCAATTTTCCCCTGCACTCTCCCTCTTCTGTTCTTTTCTCCATCCTTCTCAACACTCTCTTTTCCTTTCATTTTTCCATCCTTCTCTGCACTCTGTTTTCCTTTCTATTCTACATCTTTCTTCTCACTCTCTGTTCCTTTCTCTTGTCCATCTATCTCTGCACACTCTTTTTAATTAATTTCTTCATCTTTCTCTGCACTCTCTCTTACGTTTTTGACAACTTTCTCCACACTTTATCTTCCTTTCTTTTCTAAATCTTTCATTGTATTCTCTTCCATTCATTTCTCCATCTTTTTCTGCACTTGCTCTTCCTTGCTTTTCTCCGTCATTCTCTGCACTTGCTTTTACTTTCTTTTAACCATCTTACTCCACACTCTCTCTTCCTTTCTTTTTTCCATCTTTCTCTAACTCTCTTTTCCTTTCTTTTCTCCAGCTTTTGCTGCACTCTCTCTTTAATTAATTTTTCCATCTTTCTATGCATTTTCTTTTCTCTATCTTTTTCTGAACTCTCTCTTCCTTTCTGTTCTCAATCTTTCTCCATACTCTCGCTTCCTTTCTTTTCTCCACGCACTCTTCCTTTCATTTCTCTATCTTTTTATCACTTTCTCTTCATTTCCTGTCTTCATCTTTCTTATTGCTCTCTTTTCTCTATCTTTTTCTGCACACTCTGTTCTTTCCTGTTACGGTTGCCTCCAGGCTGGCTGGAAGTTGGATCATAGAAAGGATGCTCCTAGCGCTCACCAAAGGACCATCAGCACCATAGACACCATAAGTACTGCAGACTCCACGATCCGCCGCTGCAGGGCTAGGATCTCGCTGGCTGCTATCCACCCTGGACATACGACCAGGCTCCAGGTTCCAGTAGGTGAACCTCTTCCTTCTGTAGAGCGAAGCAGGATCAGGAACAAGAGCTCTTACAAGAGCTCAGAGGCTAAGGGAGTATGAAGAGCATAGCAATCCCTGTAGTGATTATAGCTGTCCCCTACAAACATGAGTCAAGGCTGCAAATTAGAGCGTCAAGTCATTCTATTTATTGGCACCAAAAGGGCTTTCTTTTATGCAGGTTTCCCTTAGATAGGACCACCCATAGGGTTTTACACAACAACCAATCATACACGTATATTACAGAAACACTCCCAGCAATTACATACAAAAATCCTCCCCTCTGCCTGTGATATAATTATGTTACACAATGGTTTAACAATTATCACAAGCAGGAAAAATACAGTTTTTATCCATACACTGTAACTTTAAAACTACACATCCAGTCTTCATAAATATTACATATTTAGAATCAGCGACCTTCAAATATATACATAACCAAAAATCAGCCAAATCCATCCAGGGGTTAAAATGTTAGCTGGAGGTCCCTTTATGACCGACCGCAAGCTCATTTTCCTGCCCAAAACAGTTCCATAGATTTGAGCTGTGCGGTCGGTCTATTTCAGGCTGAAAAAACGAATGGGACTTAGTCTCTGCAGCTGTAAAATCATTGTGGGAAAAGGTAGGGCTCAGCGGTGTTTGTGGAAATGTGTAGCCGATTTTAGTTCCATGAATTTGGCTACACATACCGCTGACCTTGTGCGAATGAACAAAGATGGCCGCCGCCATGTGTTCGGCGAACGAACAAAGGCCACCCAACGTTTGCCAATTAAGCTGCGGTTAACCGCAGCTTCTGGGAGGTAAATTGCCTGCAGACTTCCACTTCTGGGTGGTCCGCCTGTGTGGTACTTGGTTCAGTAAGCCCCATTTACTGAACCAAGTGGGAAATAGTTAGGAACAACGGGTTTTAACCAGGTCTGGGGACACAGGGGACACCGTCTTAAAGAGGCAGTGTCCCAAACAAGTCTGGGGACACCGCCTTAAAGGA